CAGAGAAACCTCTAAAACCTGCAGGACAGGGGGCCTTGAGCACCGAGTTTGGGGATGCCTGATATATGGCATTTAAGCATTTATAGAGATTTTAAAATGAAAATGTCTAAAAGAAAATTATAAATTTAAAGAAACGATAAAGACGTGTTTATGATGTATGAAGTTTAGGTGAACATTGACCCTTGCAATTCAGAGGTCAGTATTGGAAACCCTTCCTGTGACTCAGTGCCCCTGAATTAGCCCTCAGCTGTAAAAAGGTTGGTGACCGCTGGTCTAGAGTGTTAGAGCAGTGCGTTTGTGCTCTGAGAAGGTTGCACTACCCGGTTCGATCCCCTGCATTCTGGGTCCCTGAGCAGGACCATTGCTCCCGTGGGGATGCGTCAAATGCAGAGAGGGCATTTCCCCAATAAAGGGATTTACATTTACATTATTTTCTAAAACCTGATGGGGGTAAAGAGCAGAACTAAACATTGGACATTTCTAAGCTGTGCCGTTCCTCCAAGGGTCTCATTGGAGAGCTGAGAAAACCACAACATCATCCTTTCAGATATGAATGACAGCTAAATCACTGCTTGATATAATCCAGCAGAAGGTCTGCTTTTGTTTGATACTGTGTGCGTTTTCATCAGACCCCAGCTGTTCCTTTCTTCAGGCCTCGCCTGTGTAGAACAGCACCGTTAAAGCGCTGGTTTCTCTTCGTCCCTTTCTGTGCAGACGCATTGATGATGATATGGGACGCACACACGAGTTGGAGCATTCTGCCATCAAGTGCATGAGAGGGATCCTCTACTGTTACATGAGGCAGGCGGATAAGGTGAGTCCTTCTCAGCTCTGCTTTTATATTTTTTTATTAGAATAGTCTCGTGTTTTGATGTTGGGTTTTAGATCCGGAGCGCCTCTTCCAGCTGAGGCCCAGATACATCTCCTTCCTGTTTTTAAATGCCGACACTTGAGAACAGGAAGAAGAGGCTTCAGCCCTTAAGGCTTAATAAGTCACCATGCATTAATTACCTTGGACTTTCACTCCTAATGGGGCTGAGTTATTTCATTTGACCAAAGTCAGATGGCTGCTGCCTAACGCAGTCCTCATGAGCCACATCCTTCAGCGTCGGAGGCTGTTTATGTAACTTTTAGAAAGCTGCTCCGCTTCGTCTCGACCCCGACGACCCAATTCAGAGGAGAGCTTTCCTGTGTCTTAATTACAAAGCTTCGTTTACACAGTTAATTACACAGAGCGCCGTTCGTCATGGACCCGTCTCCGGCACTTAAGAACTACACAGCGTTTTTATTGAAGATGTGACACGGGCCGGCTGTTGGGCAAAATAACACAGCAGCTGGGCCCGGCTCATGCACAGCGTTTGGGACAGTCGAGGCCTTTTCCTTCTTAATCACATTTAAAACCAAACATTTAAACATTAAGGAATCCCCAGCAAATAAACTGTGGTTCGTTAAGGTTTGGGTATAAAAAGACAAACTGAAAGCTCTGCTTTTGTGCGTAAAGAAAAAGAAGCCAATAGTAATTTGATGTTGAATATTTAGGAGAATTTTCCTAAATGGAAGATTTACTCTCACCATTTTTTGTTTTAATAATTAAACTTTGCTCATGGACAATAATTTTCCCAGCAAAACGTATAAAGAAACTAGTCTTATGTGTCCTTATGTGTGGAACCGCTATCACTTTTAAAACCACATCATTTTCCTAATGGTTTACCTTCATTGTAATTAGTTCCTAGACCATTGGTCACAGTTAGCATACCGCGGTCTGGATGTGGACTTTGAGACTGATACGGGAGTGGATTTTCACTCCTGTCCCGTCCCGATCCCGGGCCAGAGTAGAAATCTAAATCCTGTCCCGTCTACTCCTGGTGAAATTACTCCCGCTCCCATCCAGAATGACTCCCGCTCCTGCACCACTCCCATTCTAGTTGTCTTCAAAAAGATTTCTGCCAATACATTGAATCTGAGGGCGTTCTCGTGAAGTCCGTTCTTGGCGAGAACGCAGGAAGATCGGACTTGACGAGAACGCGAGCACACAAGCACGTAAGTGTATTGGAACAGAAGCGTACTCGTGACGTCATCACATGCAACGTTCTTTAGCATTTCTTTAACTGTCAAAACTATTTATTCCCTACACAAAACATTTTGAAAACAATATTTTTAATTTCTAAAGCTTAAAAAACATTTAAAAAAATGACCAAACCGCAAAAAACCGCCATCAGAACGAGCGGTAGTTCATACATAACTAGACCGAGAGAAGTGCACTACAGACGGGGTACAGAATTGTTATAGTCATTAGGCTGAGGCTGATGAAGTATCACGAGTACACGAGCACACGAGAACGCTCAAG